TTTTCTTAGTTTCAAAATGACTCCCCTACAGGTGGCATTCCCCTATCCTCCCTATTTTAAAAAGTTATGAGAAAAGGAAAAAAACAGAAACAAAGTCTTTGTAAATAGGGGGTGGAGGGGTTGAAGGGAGGGCAGGGGAATGAAGAAAAAATAAGAACAAAGATATGTCATGTACAGGTACAAATTCCCAATGATGAATGTCATCATAGTGTATACCTAAAATATATCAATAAACTTAAAATTAAATTGAATTTAAAAAATTGTCTTTCCTAACAACTCTCAGATCCTTGATTCCTTATCAGGTTGGTTTGATTGGTTGTTGGATGACTTCTTTCTAAATAGAAAGTTCCATGAAGATGAGAGCTCTCTGATGTACTGCAGTATTCTCAGAACTCTGTATGGGCTGGCTCAGTAGAAGCCAAATATTTGTTGGATGAATGAAAGGGTGATACTTCATTACATGATTCACATTTTCCTTCCCATTATATTTTCTTCATATACTTTATGTTTGAATATTAGAACCAGGAAAGGTTTTAGGGATCAACAAGGATAATTTTCTTGTTTTTGAAGAAGGCAACTCATGCAAAGTCAAGATTACCTAACTGGCTGTTGACGGAGGAGAGACCAGAATCCAGTTCCTCTGGCTCCTCATTTCCATAATAAATCTCCCCTTGCATTGAACCACTGTGGCCCTGCCTTGGCACGTTGGTTTTATTTTTTCAGAGTGGAGCAAACTAAGAACTCATTATTTAAGAGAGTCTGAAAACAAGCTCTTCTGCCCAAATAAAATTTCTCAGAACAACTGAGGCCTCATTATAGAACCCCAACTTTTTCTTTTTTGTTTGTTTTGGTACCAGGGATTGAACTCGGGACCTTGCACTTGCAAGGCAGGCACCAGAACTACTGAGCTAAATGCCCGGCCTAGAACTCCCAACTTTTAATCATTTTGGAAATCAGTCTTGCTAGAGAATGTTCTTATGAATGTTGATTATTAAATACTGTGTGTTAAAAAAAATTTTTTTTTAAGTAAATAGTGTATGGTTTCTCTTATATAAGAAACCCAAAACAGAAGTAGAGAGATAGATTTTTGTTCACATAGGCAGGGGATCAAGAGATACAGACGGGAAAAGAGAAGATGATGAAAAAGGAATTGAGATGTGTTGCATACATGGAGCAACTCCACATAGGGGATGTAATCATTGTGTACTGCAAATGTAATACTAATAGAGATAAAAACTGAGAAAAATAGTCAAACTCTAGAAGCAGAGAGTAGAATGGTGGTTATCAGGGACTAGGGTGTGGGTTGAGGAAAAACTTGTCAAAGGATATAAATTTCAGTTAGATGGCAGAATAAGGTTAGGAAATCGGTTGTACAGCATGGTGACTGTAGTTAATGTTTACATGAAATATACTTGAAAATTACTAAGTGGTTTTTAGAAAAAGGTTATTTTTTTCACTTTCTCTAATTCCCTAAATTTATTGATCCTACCCCCATTGACCAAGCTGCCAACACGTGATGTCCATTTTAGAAAAAGGTTCTCAACATAAAATACAGGTAATATGTTAAGTACCTTGATTTAATCATTCCACAATATGTATCTATACAGAGAGCGATACATATATCTCAAGTTCATGTATATCATACATATTACTTAATTTTTAAAAATAATGGAAAAATACACTTTATTCTTTTAGATTATTTTCTGCATTAGTTCTATAAAAGCAAGTGAGTTGGGCGTGGTGGTGTACATCTATAATCCTAGCAACCGGAAGGCTGAGGCAGGAGGATTGCTGCAAGTTTGAGGCCAGCCTGGGCTTTAGAGTGAGTTCAAGACCAGCCTGAATGATACTGCATATCGAGACCCTGGCTCAAAGATAAATAAATAAAAGTGAGTGAATAATAAATGTGTTTACTTTTCAATTATTTTGAATGATGAAAAGATCCATTTGCTGGATTTCTCTACAGTTGGAGGATGTGGATAGACCAGTTACGGACATAAACTTGGAACATATCTCAGACATTTCAGATACTCTCCTAAATACATGTCATGTATTAAGGCATTTATTCCCCAAACAATAGGGCTAATATGACCAAGTCTTCATTGCATTTAGAGCCCCCTAGGTCCTCTGACCTTGGGGAGAATGACTCCACTGGCCTTGTAAGGGGAGAAGCCACATGGCAGGGTGCTGGGGAATGAGGGTAAGATGTGGAGATGAACATTGGTCAGGAAGTTTAGTTAGTAAATCAAAGATGGAGATGGAATAGACAGGGTGGGGTGGGGATTTGTATATTTACAATTATATTTTAGAAAAGAAGCCTCACCTCTTTTGTATGGTTATAAAATAATGTTTAAAAATTAATCAGCATGGGCCAGGGATTTAGCTCAGTGGTTCCGCCGCCTGTCTCGGAAGTGCAAGGACCCGAGTTCGATCCCCGGTACCAAAAAAAAAAAAAAAATTAATCATCACCACAAAGAGATCTGAGAGTACCTAATCAATAATCCTTCCTTCCTGCTCTTTGATGTGGCTCCTGCCTTCTATGAGCACACTGTACTATATGTACAATGTTTATTAAGTATCATGGAATCTGCTCAGCCTGGTCTTTTTCTTAATGCAGTGCCTAAAACACATCATTGTTACAGTGTGGGTTTATGAGATCTATATTAATATTTTTCATTATTTTCATGTTTCCTGCCTTCAAAAGATCATCTATTTTTAAACCTTTAATTAGTGTCCAGGCAGATGGCACAACAACTAAGAAATCTTTTTCAGAGTCAGAGGCTTTGGTATATATCATTAGAACCCCAAACTTTATGGTTCTTTGTTCATACATCTCATTAATGAAAGTTACTGCATCCTAATTTTAGTTATAGTACAATTAAAATATCTACTGATGGCATAAAAAAAAAAGCTATTTGGAAAAACATTTAAAATTACCACTCCCTATTTTTTTGTTAAATGAAGTTCTGGACAGTAAAATGTCAGGGCTTAAAGAAAGGGGATATTCCACGCTTCATAACAAAACACTTGACGGAGATAGCTTAGAGCTGATTTTAGAACTCAGCAGTCAAAGCAATGCTTTTAAAAGGATGTCTGAGAAAAAGCAGATCTGAAGTTTACATTCTTTTGTTTAAGCCCAATGTGTACAGAACTGAAACTCTCCCCACCAAACAATGCTGTCATTGTTGAGAGGTCTCTTCCTGTCACCCATGCTACGCATCAAGTCATCTCTGAGGCCCTCCTCACCCTGAACCCTCCCACCTCCTAGGGTACTAAGCTCTATTTCTTCAAGAAAGTCTCGAGTTTTTCTAGCTGCGTCTAACTACTCTTCACTTTGATCCTTCATTATCTATCCCTCTGATTAGTCTCATTCCATCAGCCCCTCTTCTGTCCCTCTTGCTAATCTGCATCCATCCTATTCCTGGATGTTAATTATCCATTTAAAGCAAATTAATCATACATTAAAATATTTCCAGGAAAAGCCCCTGGCTCCCTTAGCGTACAGGATAGAATCGAAATTCAGTTTGCGCTTCGTGCTCCAGTTCTGATCTACCTTTCTAGCCATTTTTCTACCCTCTGTATGTCTCATGTGCTTGAGTGAAGCACTGCTGTTCTTTTTTCTCTAACAGGACCCCTGCCCTCTTATTTTCTCTGAATATCAACATTCTGGTCTTTTAGGTCAAGTTTCACCTCCTACATTAAGCTGTTTCATATGTGATTTTTGTTTGCTTTAAATTCCTATTACATTATGCTTATTTCTCCCACAGCCCGTTGTGCTCTGTGTTCTTGTGATCTCTTCTTCCTGAACTAATCACATCTTCTTGCACGGTACTAACACATAGAGGGTACACAGACAATGTTTATTTCCAAGTATTAACTAATGACACATTAATAAGTGGCTCCAACCTGTAATGCTGGAAACTTATTGTCATCAGTCTACAGCCGGGTGTGGCTGGAGGGACCAAGAAAAGTGTGCACAGCTTCCAGTGCCTTGGACTTGGGAGGATGTAAGAAAATATTCCCATCACATTGCTCTTGTTCTGTCTGAACACCAAGAAAAGTTGCTGGATTGCCAAGACGAGCTGCATCAGATCCCAGAAAAAGGGATCCGCACTGCTACAGAAGCATCTGTTCAGTTTAGTTTGAGCTGAGCTTATCCACCCTGCACAAGGCCTTTATAGTATGCAAAGGTGTTTGGGATTTGTGATGCATGGTCCCTCTCTCAAAAAGGACCAGATTAAGTCTGTTTTGAGCAGCTGCCTGCTTCCAAATGCTTGCAGCAGGAAAACACAATGGTATTTTATATTTCCCAGTCACATATGGGTCCATGGAGATAAAATGCTAATTTCAGCAGATGTGCCGATCTTACACAGGGAAAAGGTGTCAGAACACTGTACCATCACCAAAACACCGTACCATCACCAAAAATAGCTTCTTAAAGGCACTGGGTGCCTGGATTTAGAAAGGTTAAAAATAAAAACAAAACATTTTCACATATTTTTCAAATGGTGCTGAGATCGACTATCCTTTACAGAAGGACTTTTTCAGTGCACTTGTCAGGATAGTTTCTTGCATAATCAAGTGATAACCCTCTGCAAAGTTTTCAGGAAGTCCTGAGGATTTTTCATTTGCCTCCTTCAAGCTATTTGTTAAAGATTTGTCTAGCAGCACTTTGTTATCCACGTGCCTCTTAATCTGGTTTTGAAGCAAATTTGCTTTTGGCTGCTATGCAGTCCAAGAGAGCAAATCAAAAATGGTAGGTGACTGGGTAGCTGGGCTCTAGAGTAGCTTTGTTCCTTATGTACTTTGCTTCAATTACACCTCACTCTAATTTCCTCTTACATTCAAAGTGACAATGAGGCTTTGCTAAATACTGTGAAAAGGAGAGAAAACTTATAAGAAATAAGGTGAATTTGTGGGTGTGGAATTACATTACACTGCTGAAAACAGATGATGCCTCTTTGACCCACTGACGGCAGAAAGGCGCCACCATACTGTACCTGTCTTGGGTGTTACTGGGGCTGAAGTCTCTTTTCCTCAAAACAAACAGCAAGGGCTTTGTATGACTTAGGTCATTCCTGAGGAGCCCCCACCAGGTGCTAGATCTCATCTTCACTCCTCACCAGGATGTCATGGACCACAAGGAATCACAGGGAAGCAGTGAGAGTCGGGCCCTAAGGGAGGGAACAAGGGCCAGATAAGTCCCTCTAGTGAGGTCATTCAAATCCATTATATTTAAACACTTTAATACCATTTGGAACTTAAGGAGAGACATTTCACTTATTAAATATCTGACTCTAAGTGCATGCCTGTCATCCCAGCTCCTAGGAGGCCGAGGCAAGGGGATCTATGCAAGCTCAAAGCCAGCTGGGCTAATAGTTCAAGGCCAAGCTGAATTATACAGTGAGAGCCTGTTTCAAAAAACCAAAGTAAGGGCTGGGGATTTGGCTCAGTGGTGCCGCTCCTGCTTTGCAAGCCCAAGGTCCTGAGTTCGATCCCTGTACCAAAAAAAAAAAAAAAGTAAATAAATAAATCTGATTCTGTAACAATTCATATAAAAATATACTTTTAGCTTTTCTGTTTAAAAAGCAATATAATTTTTTTCTTGGAGCTCAGAGTGTAGCTTAGTGGTAGAATATGTGCTTAGCATGCACGAGGCCCTGTATTCAACCCCTAGCACTAAAAATAGATAAATAAATAATGACAATGTGTTTTCTTTACATTCATATGTAAATTTTCCATTTAAAATTAAATCACAGATTCTGAAATGGAAAAGCCCACATTAACGAGCTCACTTGATTATACATCACAGTTACTGATAGTAACTGTGGCTAACATTTAGCACTTTTGTTCTGGAAATTCTAAGGATTCTAGGTATAAATATTTCATTTGTACTTCAAAATAACCCTAATATGATAGTATGGTAATTCCTGTTATTACCACTATTTTACAAATGAGGAAACTGAGGCACTGAGGAAATATGAGTAACCTTACATCTGGAGCCACACAGAGTAAGTGGAACATCCAGGATTCCAACCCAGGTATCTCCAGAGCCCGTGCTGTATAGATAGATGGATAGATAGACAGATAGGTAGCTAAAAAAATTTTTTGAGACAGAGTCTTACTATGTAGTTGAGGCTGGCCTCAAACTCACGGCAATCCTCCCGCCTCAGGCTCCTTAGTACTGGGATCACAGTGTGCTCCATTACAGCCAGTTACTTGGGAGGCTGAGGCTGGTGGATCACTGCAAGTTTGAGGCCAGCCTGGAATACATAGTAAGTTCAAGGCCAGCCTGAACTGCATAGCAAGACCCTGTCTCAAAACACAAAACAAAACAACACAAAATCTGAGTGTTCTGCAAAGCTCTGCACCATCTGGCCACTGCCAACCTTGCCCTCTATCGTTCATCCTTTCTGCCATCATTTATCATCTCCTCTTCCCCTTGCTTACTCCTTGCTCCTCAGATGCCCCAAGCTTGGTCCTCACTGCAGGGATGTAGAAATTCTGTCCCCTCGGCCCGGGTTGCCTCTTCCCCACATTACTGCCTCCATTGCTGCCTCAGGTCTCCGTCCAGTGTTACCTCCTCCTTGGTCATCCCATAACCCCATGCTTTGTCTTTCTTTGTAGTGTTATTCCTGAAATCATCCACTCCATGTTGTTTGTGTGACCCTCCCCTTCCATCAGAACGCAGACTCACATCTTGGGCACGGTATGACCTGCTAGAGCGGGGCCAGCTCGGGCACAGGCTCTGTATTTATTGAAGGAGTACATTTAGTTTGTTTCTCCTGGGAGTCTAGAAGGTAGACGAGGCAGAGAGTATCCTTTTTATAGGTGTTCTGGTCTCCAAAAGATGAAATCAATACCTCAAGTGCACTGGCTACAAAGTGGTTGGGGCTAAAATGAGTTGGAAGCCCCTCCCTCCTTGCCTAACTGGGGCATTTTCCACCGCACCAGCATGGTTTGCCTGACGTCATCTGTTTTTTTCTTGATTGCCTCCAGCCTGGTTCCAAAACTTTTCTAAAATTACTATCTCCTTCAGTCATTATAGCAACTGAACCACAGCTTAGATTGACTACAGAGTTTGAAAATTCTTAAATTAGTGGCTCTAACTTTTGCTGTTTCCTGACCTGTTTTTCCTACGGCTGAAACTCTGAAACGTTTATAAGTCTGTATCCTTTCATTCTATATATGATCAGAATATTTAATTAAAACCAAATCTTTGCTTAGTTTGAGTGGATTAATCTATACACTTGGTATGGATTTAAATCCTGGCTCTTCTAATACTGGCATAAATCCCTTAATCTCTCTGGGCCTTGGTTTCCTCGTCTTGTAAGTGGAGAAGGTAACAGTAACCACTCCGTAAGTGTTCTGATAATTTAGTGAGATTATGAAATGTGCCTGCCACATAACACTGGCTCAGTGTGGTCGTTGTGAATCGCATTGCTACATTCCATGGACTCACCGACGAGAGGTTACAACTTGGAGCGAGCCAGATTTGGGGCCTTCTGCCTCTGAGCTTCCAGTGTATTGGGGGAGAGGGTTCAGTAAGCACAAAAACCGACGGCAAGTTCTCTAAGCAGGTGTAGTAGAGTTATCTTTGGCCCCTTTCCTCTCACACCCCACATCCAGCTCATCAGCAAATCACGTCAGCGATATCTTCCCCCCAAATCCAGAATTTGCTGTCTCACCACCTCTGTACCGTGGTCTAGCCCTCGACCCACTCCCTCTCGGCTTACTGTGGTAGTAACCTCTGAACCTGGCTCCCTGCCTCCACCCCATCCCCTACCATTTAGTCCCCACAGAGCAGCCAGGGTGACCTCTTAAAATGTAAATTAATGCTCTTGTTATGAGCAGAATAACCCCACCCCACCCCACCCCAAAGATGCCCACATCCTAGTCCCTGGAACCTACGAACACATTACATGGCCAGAAAACTTTGCAGATGCAATGAAGCACCTTCAGGAGGGCACAGTGTTCCAAATTACTCCAGTGGGCCTGACCTAATCCCACGACTCCTTCAAAGCCTATGGCCTTCCTGGAGGAAGGGGACCTCTAGCAACTGAACAACAGGCAAACAGATTCTCCCTTAGAGCCTCCAGAAGAAATGAAGCCTTGCCAGCAGATCAATTTTACCTCCGTGACACAACTTCTGACCTCTGGAACTGTAAAGCAATAAATGTGTATTGTTTAAATCCACTAAATTTGTGGTAGCAGCAACGAGTAGAAAACAAACACAGCACTCTTCTGGTCAGAACTGTCCAGAGCCTCCCTGGCTCACATGGAGTAGGAGACATAGTGACCTGCAGGACGCTTGGTGACCTGGCCCCCCGACCCTCACTGACCTTACTTCCTTTGGATCCCCGTTGCTCTCTGCCTCAGCCATCCTGGCCACCTGGCTGTTCCTCCAATACGCCCAGCATGCTCTACTCCGGCTCTGCACACTTCAAACACACACACACACACACACACACACACACACACACCCCTCCTCCCCCAGAAACCCGCATAGCCATCTTCATGCTTTCCTTGATCTCCATGATCCTGTCCCCAGCTTCTCAATATAGAAATAGGCACCTGCCCCTTGTCCCACTGCACACCCTGCCTTGTTTTTCTCATTAACCCTTATCACCAACTGACCTGCTATTTAATCATTCATTATCTCCACTCCCTGCTTTAGAAAATGGGAGCTCAAGAGGGCAAGAAGTTTGCCTCCTTTGCTACTCTATCCTCCACGCCCCCCCCCCCCCCCCCAGGGTAAGTGCTTGGTAAATAATTGATTGATCGGGTGACTTAGAAGAATAAAGGAGAGGGAGAAAGGGAAGAGAGAGCCTGCTTTGTGGCAGGGAACAAGGAAACAAAGTAGCCAAATGTAGGCGGTGACACAGGCAGACAAAGGCATGGGTGAGGATATCAAATGGCCATAGGCCGAGCATGTGGGGCAGCATCGTGAGGCTCGGAAACCACTGTAAGCCGCTGGGCTCACTGCTGACCATTGAGGGGACAAGTGGCTTCATGGCCAAGAGTGGATCCCCAGAGCTACACTGCTGCTTGGGTTCAGTCCTGGCCCGGCCATAGCCCTGTGACAGATGACAAGTGACCAGGGGGAAGACCCACAGCATGTCAGGCGATGACCCCACCTTCCAGGGCTCCTGTTTATGCCAAGGATTAATACGGTAGGGATGAGATTTTTAAAAATTTGTTGTAGCTGCGGTGTGGAAAATGACATGCATGGAAAATAATCGTCTTCTGAAAAGGGTTTTGCAAGGATTAGAGACCCTTTTCGAATGAAGAGTGTTGGTTACTCTTTATTTTCAGAAATTTTCACTGCATGGTTGCAGTGGGTTCGATGGTTCTGTGTGAGAGCACAGAGAGGTTTTGCTTATGCGAAGGGCACTTTTCAAACCACAGACTGTGATTCAGTAGTGGGTCACAGGCCAGTTTTGTGGGTCCAAATGGATTAAAAATAAACAGAAAACAGCCTGGCCTTTGGAAAGGAGTCACATGTCCTGATGTTTCTGTCTCAATTACATGCTTGCATCTATTGATCCTCACAATGCTGACCTCACACTCATAATTGTTGGTCACCAGGACACATCCTGGCATCACAAGTTTGAGAAACACTGCCTGAGGGAACTTGATTGGCTTCTCACTCTGCAACCTGGCTGTGTCCACACTGGGTGAGTCCTCTCCAAGGCCTCTGACATTTCGGCTCTGTAAAGTTATGACCTGAGCTGCAGGACATTCTCGCTGTCTGGCTGTGTGGCCACACATCTTGCTTTGACCACAGTGAATTAGGAGGCAAAGGCCAACCCCTCCCCGAGGGAAGGGAGGGCCCAGTTGGAGTCTTAGCACAGCCTCAGGAGGCGGCTCCGTATCCCAGTACCTTGTGTTTCCAAGTCCTGGAGTAGGAGGAAGGATGGGAGGTGTGAGGTTTTTAGCTCCATAGTGCCACCCACCTCTGCTGCCTTCGAGAGTCACGTTGTTGACAAGCTGCCCACAGTTCAGTGGCAATGGCTCTGCCTGCCTTTCAGCTGCCAGTAGTGGGATCAGCTGAAGAGGAAAGGGAGGGCTACTATGTCAGCCAGGTGCCACACGCCACTTGCATCACTGGCACCATGTCTTTGGCACTAGTGCCCTTATTCATCCTGCTCTAATAACACTTGTGCCCCTGGAG